TTTCCACAGCTGGCGGTTCCTGACGATCTCATTGTTCGATAGGTCCACTCCTGTACTCAACCGTATCGTACTCGCGTTCACAGCAGCTGCGAGTTGCCCTCGACACTGTTGCCAGCCTGGACGCATACTCCTCGAGTAGGCCGTGAGGACCCACCCTCAAGAGCCTTCCCCAGAGCTTGCCGCAGCAACCTGTTGGTGTCTCCCATGCGCCTCCACCTCACTCCCCCTAGTGCGACTGTTTCACCGTGTTCACCCCTCTCAACCAAAGTCATCAATGCCTCCTCACTGCAACGCCACTTCCTCCACCACCTACTCATCATCACCGTCTTCTTCGCTCCGCCCCTCAACTGCCACTTTACCCCTCAAGAAGAGCCTGCAAACGCTGGCCCTTAGCCTCCTCTATCCACAACCTCTCTGCGGTAGCCACTAGCAGCTCTCCCACGTCGAAACCATCCTCAGGTACTTTCTTCCGTACCTTGTCAAGTACCTCTTCCAGTGCTGCGGGTGGTGTGAACTGAGGGATGAGGGTCAGTAGATCCCCATTGATGTTGAGGTGTACTTCAGGAAGACCCTGTGATATAGCCTGCAGACTCTTCTCGAATGATCCTATCTGGGCCAACAACCGCTCAACTTGGCTCTTGTGTAGGCGAGTAGCCTCAGCCATCTGATACATGGACAGTCAGCAAATATATTCAATGACCCTCAACAACCCATCCACCGCCCCTCTCCCCCCAATAAGACTTCTATTAATGTTTTACACAGAAACACTTCTTAAGATTTTCCGAGCTGCTCAACCCCCCCCCCCGCCCTACATGAACCTTCAACCTCTCATTAGCCTCCTCTACTGTAGCCAGCCTCGGATCGTATTTACCCATCGCTACTTCCTATGAACATACCATTACAGAGGACCGCACGAATACCCACCTCAGCAACACTGCTAATTTGAGTTCCCTTCACGTGCTGCAAACTCGCCGCCCTTTGCTTCTCCGATGCCTTCAACTGACCCTGGACCCGAGTGAGGGCGTCTTGGAGCCGTCGCCCTACCGATGAGACCACAATCGCCGCCGCCTCCCACAATTTGCTATGATGGTGTTGATATTTATTCTTGCGTATTTATACAGCTGATATCTCACCGCGTGCTAGTGCTACCCTAACTTACCATATACTCATAATTTTAGAACTAAATTGGAGACTGAGCGTTCTCAACGACTCTGTGTGGGTTGAGTTGTGATGATTAATACTATTCACTACAGTGTTAGTTCGGGAAGCTCTCCCTTCCTATCACAGTCCTATTCACTACAGTGTTAGTTCGGGAAGCTCTCCCTTCCTATCACAGTCCTATTCACTACAGTGTTAGTTCGGGAAGCTCTCCCTCCCTACGAGTTGTTTATCGCCCCCTTACCTACGACCACGCTCCTTCCATTCAAGACTATCCCCTCTCATGAGCGCCAAACAGTCTTCACATGATCGATAAACGCTCGACAGACGATTGGGTGAAACCGGCAATCGGGAGACTTCACAGAGTAGATCAAGTCGACCCCCTTCTTCTCCTCATCCTCACCTCTCCTCTCTGAAGCATCCAAGGCAATGGCCAGCCGCTGAGCTCGAACTCTAGCGTCGTACTCGAAGCGGACTAGAGTCAGCACTTTAGCCGTCAGCTGTTCAACTCGTCTCACAAGCGACGCCTCGTCTCCCCTGATCAAAGAGCACCGGTCCTGTTTGGGACCTATTCCGTATCTTGCAACGCCGAACCAGAGGATTCTCGCCTCCCAATTGCCTTACTGCGACGCTCCCTCCTCCGTAATAGCCGACAAACTTCTCTTAACTTCTTCCACTTCAACTTGTCTGAGCCCCGAGTCCATTCCAATACCACTCCTCCCCCAACTCTCACCTCTGCTCCAGCCGCCCCTCCAACTCCTCCTTCCTCCCCTCCAACGTCGTCCTCTCCCCTTCCCACTTCTCCTGTGCCAACCTCCATTCCTCATACACCTACCCCTACCTACTATCCCCACCCCAGTATCCCTCCAATACTCACCTCATGCAGCCTCCTTATCAGCCGCTCACGCTCCTCACCTATGCCTCGTTGAGCCCCCTCCAGGTCAGCACATCTCTCCTCCAGCTGGGCTACACAAGCCTGGCGTTCTTCACATGCCGCAGCCAGCCGCCTCGCTTCCTCCTCTGCTGAATGTGCCTATTGCCGACGAGTAATCCTTATGGGAGATATTTCAAAATGCCTCAGATAAGCTGGCCGAATCAAACCAACTGCCGCGACTACTCATCCGTGAATTTCAAAAAAGCGAACCGCGTCGGACATCTCTCAAAATCAATTGACGAACCGGTTGGGTACACAAGGAAAGCTTCGAAAAGTATACGGTATGTCTCGTAACTCCGAGTATGAAAAGTTAGTAAGGCAGGGCCCTTTTTTGATTCGACCCCATGCACATGAGTTTATCAATACGTTGCAGACACGGCGGTGGCTGCGGTGGCTGCGGTAGTATACTTTTGTATGAGAGAACTAAGCCCAGCTATTGTCGAGTGTAAATGAAAAGGATCAGTCCAACCTCACCCGAGCCGTCATTGCTTTCATCTCTGTCTGCCACTGTACCAAAGTATCGTATCTTCCCTGCTCGGCCGCATGCAGCTGTCTCCGGAGCTCTGCTACAAGCTTGCTGTTCTCAACCTGAGTCGACATTTGCTCTACCCTACAGTAAAAGTGAGACATATCTCTCCAGCGTAGATGAGAACCTTCCCCTGATAGGACCAAAATTTTTAGCCTCGGAGATTCTAATACAAATTTATTGAAAAAAAAATCCCAGTCGAGAGCAAAAAGTCGTAGCCACTGTCCGGAAGTGTAGGAAATTTCCAGACAGCCATGGCCTCACCCGATCAAATCCGCGGAGGAACTCCTTCACTGGCCAGGTAATTTCAAGCTCCTCAGGAGTCTGCGCTTCTCTAGTAGACTGCGGTGGATTCTTCCTGAGAATCTTCAGGTTGACGTTGAAAGATACGGATTAGGTTCCCCCTACCGATCCAGCTCGGCCTGCAGTTCCTCTATAGCCTCATCGCGCTGTCGTAGAGCCTCCTTCTCCGCGAACTTACAACGCTGCATGTCAACGCCGGCCTCAGCCAGTTGTCCTACATGCACAGCTCCATACAAATACTTCCACCGCACAACAAGACATAGCTACACCCCTCTAATGGTCGAAGAGCCCTCACTGATATCGAGCGTGAAAGAAAAGCAAAACAACGTGTTAGCCCTTGCGCAAGTCAGTTATGCATATACCACAAATGCTATTATATATTGCCGATTGTCGATTCCCCTACTCCTCAGTTCATGCGCAGCTGCTTGGTGATCTACACACACAGTGGGTCCCGTATCCTTCTGCTGCTGCTGCTGTTCCCGGAGGAACTGCAACTCGCGGCTCTCGAGCTCTGTAGCCAGCTGCTTTGCACTGAGGATGAGATGCAGTGTTGTCAGATTCCTCACCACATCATGTGAATTTATTCAGAGTAAAAGTATTCAAAAATCAAAATTTCCCCAGAATTTTCATACTGTCACTAGCCCACGTAGTTGTCCATGTCCACGCCGACGGCAACCATCACTTCCTCCTCCAACAGCCTACCACTCCAGTTCCTCGGCGAGCCTCTCCACTTCTCCCATCAATGCCTCCTTTTCCTTCAATAGGTCTTCCCTCGAGTCCTCTTCTGTCTGCATCTGAGGCAACGGTCATACTCTAGAGCATCGTTGGTAGTACCGACTCACCCCAACCGTCTCGACGGCGAGCCGCCTCTTCTTTTCAGCCGTCATCTCCGCTCGCAAAGTGGTCACTTCCTGGCGACTGCTTTTCAACTCTTCCCGGGACGATACCTCCGCATTTCGAACAACTTCGAACTCTGTAGCGGCCGCATCGTTCAGTGCTTGTAAGCGACGAACCTCGACCAAACCAAAGTTACAATTTCATCTCGACACCACCCAGTAGAGAGGTCGAACCTTCTTCCTCCATATAAACAGTGTTTTACTCTAGCATGGCAACAAAGAGCGACTTTAGATTCCTTTCCGTACACTTCGCGGGCATTTTGGAAAAACGAGGAAGACACTTAGCCGTTATAAAGGATAAGTCACTGGATGGCCACATGTAGCACTCACCTCAGACTGCAGACGAGCAGACTCTGTGAGCAGCGACTCGAACCTAGTCTGCATGGCAACCTGATAGTAGTGAGGTCAGTGAGCAGTGTCGGGGGAAAATATGCACATGGTCAACTACATGTGTCGGTGACAATATAAAAATTGTGAGTACATTCTGGGAAATTCAACGAAATTCTTTCATCCGAATTAGCTCTGAAAACTCGTGAGCTCAGCTAAGGAAACCATACATATATTCCAACACTGCCAGCGAGCAGGCCAGGACGTGAGTGCTCTCACTTTCTCTTCAGTCAATGACGCTTTCTCCTCATCCCACTTCACTTTATCAGCAACCATGGCCTCCTTCTCTTCCTTCAGTTTAGCGATCGTCTCGTCCTTGCTTTGGAGGACCTGCAATTCTACAACGCTCAATCAGGGACCTCAACGGCTTGCGATCACGCCTGCATGATTCCCGGTGCAGCCGATTCTGAATAAGCTACTAAAAGACCTGGTCCCACCAGTAGAGCTGCTTCGCTCCGCCGACTATGTTCCAGTTTTTCAGCATGATAGTGCTGCATCGACACCGACGCTCTCTCCAACAGAACTTGGTCCCCCGTCGAGTTGCCATCAGAATGCTCAGTGGAGGGGCTCAATACAATTCCCTCTCTCTGCAGGGTCGAGGCGTCTAGGAGAGACCCCTTCGCTGTAAGTAGAGCTCCACCCCGAGCAAGAACCCCACCATCATCCTTCTGGAACAGCAGTTGCCGCAACTGCTCTATCGTCGCCTCCGACTTGTCCCTCTCTCGAGCCAACGTGCCTGAGTAGAAGTAGCTGCGACGTGGTAGAGGGTATGGCCGGGACCTTCAAGTGTATCCGCCCTGTGCTTCGCAGCATCCCTCTCATCCTCGCTGAGTATAAGCCTCTGCTTGATTGTATCTAGCTGCTCTCGTAGTAGCTCCTCTATGGTGTTCATATTGGTCATACCAGGAGAACAACTCCCCGTATCTTCCTACCAACAAAGATAGGAAATAGGCCTGGAGACTTTGGGAGAAACAGAGTCTACGTCTGCACTACACTATCAACACGCCATCTTCCCAAGTCTCTAAATCGATGCGGAACACCCTGTTGATTTCGACTACTGCAGCATTGTGATGGACAGATATTAATGCACTTAACGTCTCTCGCGGCATGGATATAAGATCTTCTAGTTGTGATACGTCGCGACCAAGCCGATAGTTCAGTGTGGGGATATATCTTAGCTTCTCTCAGCCGAGCTCAGGGGAATTTGCACACGACTGCGAGTAGGAGCGCACGAAACACTACGACAATTCTCGGCGATTCTCTCGAACACTAGGTCGATACAATATCCTAGCCCGGCATCCCACCATGTTTCCGACAATGAAGCAGCGAGTATTCTATTCGATAAGCATACGAATCATACAGGCAATAGACGATTCGCGTTTCCCCTCCCCCTCCCCCTCTCGTCAGCTCATTGATTCATATTAACAACAAAAGCACCAGTTTCTCAAAACAGTCATCAACTAGAGAGAAAATAGCATGCTTAGATACTCTTTGAGGTCAGCAGTGCTGACCTCCGAGTCAACTCAACAGCGAAGGGACCAATCAAGCTTCTTACCATCGAAGTTTCCACTCTGCAAACATGGGCTTATCGCAGCTTCCCACTCAAAACTCATCAACTCATTGTGGAGTGACTCCACCACTTCGTGTATGGTAACACTCAATGGCCTGAGAGAGATCAAAATCACCCAGGCGGAGCGATGCAGATAATGCCATAATTATAGTATCTGATAGCATTGCCATCAGTTGAGCAGTCGAGCGGCACGATATTGATGGCGGGAATGATTGACGGTAGCGATATCATCCAGGACTTACTAGCTTGAACTTACAGTTGCCTGCTTTGGCGAAGCAGCTTCGCTCCGCCTGCATGTAGCCTATGAGCCTATGAGTTCTCCTACATGTAATATGAGAAATGCTCATACTCATTGAGAATTGAATCGCCGTGGACCATTGCTGACAAGAGTCTGTTGGACAGGAATATGTGGATACTGGTTCGGTGTATGGTGTAACAGACGTATAATGGTAGAAATTTAGTGATACTAGGATAGGGGGAATCACGTTCTGAGGGGAATGGGGGATGTGTTCGACAATTCGTGAAAGGTTCATTCTCTAAATTGAAAACTCACTTTGAGAAAGTTATGCATCGCTCTCAAATCTGGCCCAGATCGTCGGGATCCCCAGATTATCTGGGGATCCCCGGGATCCGATCCCGACGATAGTGAATGCTCTATAATAATACTTTATGAACATTCTTATACCACTGGCACACTGCGCGTTGCCTGGTTTCCTGATACAACGTAGATCATTAAACGTAGATACAAGCAGAGCCTGGCTAAGACGCTGCGCTCCCAGAAAACAGAGTCTATGTATTAGCTATGTATTATTCACATGCCAAGTCGCCCACGAATAACGTTGGACGTAAAGGATATTCAAGCGATAATACATGACATAATACTACATGCAACATTCTCGCCCTTCGCTTCACAAAACGGTTACACAGGGAGAA